TGTGCAAGTGATAATATTGAAATGGAAGGAGTATCAGACCACTGCAAATCTACCAAGACCTGGCCGTCCCTCTAAACTTTCAGCTCATACAAGGAGAAGACTGATCAGAGATGCAGCCAAGAGGCCCATGATCACTCTGGATGAACTGCAGAGATCTACAGCTGAGGTGGGAGACTCTGTCCATAGGACAACAATCAGTCGTATACTGCACAAATCTGGCCTTTATGGAAGAGTGGCAAGAAGAAAGCCATTTCTTAAAGATATCCATAAAAAGTGTTGTTTAAAGTTTGCCACAAGCCACCTGGGAGACGCACCAAACATGTGGAAGAAGGTGCTCTGGTCAGATGAAACCAAAATCGAACTTTTTGGCAACAATGCAAAACGTTATGTTTGGCGTAAAAGCAACACAGCTCATCACCCTGAACACACCATCCCCATTGTCAAACATGGTGGTGGCAGCATCCTGGTTTGGGCCTGCTTTTCTTCAGCAGGGACAGGGAAGATGGTTAAAATTGATGGGAAGATGGATGGAGCCAAATACAGGACCATTCTGGAAGGAAACCTGATGGAGTCTGCAAAAGACCTGAGACTGGGATGGAGATTTGTCTTCCAACAAGACAATGATCCAAAACATAAAGCAAAATCTACAATGGAATGGTTCACAAATAAACATATCCAGGTGTTAGAATGGCCAAGTCAAAGTCCAGACCTGAATCCACTCGAGAATCTGTGGAAAGAACTGAAAACTGCTGTTCACAAATGCTCTCCATCCAACCTCACTGAGCTCGAGCTGTTTTGCAAGGAGGCATGGGCAAAAATTTCAGTCTCTCGATGTGCAAAACTGATAGAGACATACCCCAAGTGACTTACAGCTGTAATCGCAGCAAAAGGTGGCGCTACCAAGTATTAACTTAAGGGGGCTGAATAATTTTGCATGCCCAATTTTTCAGTTTTTTATTTGTTAAAAAAGTTTGAAATATCCAATAAATTTCGTTCCACTTCATGATTGTGTCCCACTTGTTGTTGATTCTTCACAAAAAATTACAGTTTTATATCTTTATGTTTGAAGCCTGAAATGTGGCAAAAGGTCGCAAAATTCAAGGGGGCTGAATACTTTCGCAAGGCACTGTAAGTGGGGCAATTCTCATAGGAAACATGAGGTCAGGGATTGCTGTGGTGCTAAAAACTGAGTCAGTAGTCTGCCAATATGGAATCAATGTAACCAACAGCAGATAGGCATATTATCAATACAGTTTAGCCATGCATCTTGAAATGAGGCAAATGTTTGTGGATTAGACAAGCTAAGCAGTAAATGTCACATTTATGATAATGTGTTTATTTTCTGTTTTGTCTTGGACAACTATCAAGAATCAGTAAGTAGTATCAATATAGTGCTATAAAGCTGTAAAAAAAAAAGTCATTAAATTTCATTCTTCAGTAAGCACAATTTTAGGGGTGGGGTAAGGGCAAGACTTTATTGTTGATCCCACAATGGGGAAATTCCAGTGTTCCAGCAGCATTAGAGAGCAAACAACAAAACACCATAGGGACCTCCGAGAAGCAAATCAAAGGTACCCAAAAACAAGACAAAACATAGCACTTGAGAGAAATCAAGAACAAGAATATTACTCCCACAATTTATTCCACAATGGGGGAAAAACCCTGCATATCAACAGCAGCAGAGACTAAACAATAGACACCATAAGAACAGCAGACACCGCAAGGATCTCTGAAAAACAAGTCAAGAATACCCAAAAACAAGGCAGTACAAGCATTTCAGAGAAATCAGGAACAGGATATCGCTCCCACAATCAATCCCACAGAGCAGTCTGTGGTCAGAGGGGGAGGGGTGGAAGCGTATGCATTCCTGGCATTAGCATACAGTAGGTCCAGAGTTTTTATTGTCCTTTGTGTGACATGGTTAAGGTCCCCCGAGATGAGGATTAGAGCCTGTGGGTGTTGTGTCGGCCACCGAAACACTTGCTTTGCACGTGCCTGCACGCAGCAGTAGTGTCGGCCGAGGGATTAGTGTAAAATCATCACCACAGAACACAGAATCAGGAGTGTCGGTGAAACACAGAAGGCTGCTATTCCCTTACACCTGTTGCAGTTCAGTTAGCGCAGTTAACTCATCCATCTTGTTGGGACAGATGGTAAACGTGGCTCATACCTCCATTTCCTCTCCCGGTGCTTTATGCCAGCTCTACAGCCTCGCCTTTTTCGTCATATCTCCGTGGGAATCTCTGGCTGCTCACCATAAGGGAGTAGGACACGGTTGAGGGCAAGCAGCAGGTTACGAGAATAAACAGTGGAGCTGCGACACAAACGGTCCCCCGAGGCAGACTCAAAAGCTCGCAAAAAGTATAAAACAAATTATTGCAAATGCAATAATAGAAAGTCTAAGGGTTACTGTTCCTTTAACACACTGTGGAAAAATGCGCTATATAAATACAGTCCATTTACCATTTAAGTCATACAAAGAACGGATTAATCTCAATGCAGCTCAGCATGAAAACACTTGTGGGCACCACCTCATACCTTTCTCCATTTTGAAAAAGAGAAAGTTTTCTCACACTCTGAATTATGCATCACAGCACCAAGCAACTTCTCACCAGTTGTTTAAGTGAGCTGTCCAAGGACCAGAAGTCGTCTTCAGTGTACCCCCACCTGAAGAGACAGAACACTCTCATACCTTCCAAGAGTTAAGCATACCCTTGATTGTTAAGTACTACTCGGTAAGTTTACAAAAGCTTTTCCTCTGTCACAGGTGCAGGGAAAATGGGATGGGGCTCACATTTCTCAGAAAGTGGAACTATTTATTTATTTATTTATTTATTTAAGAGCCAAGCTCCGTCAAAGACTCCGAATACCGGTGGGGGCGGTGAGAGGGGTGGCTGAGACCAAAAGCCTCAAAGTTCCCGACAAGCAGATCCAATCAGCCAAGAGGGCCAAGTGTTTCCCTTTTAAATTGATCCCAGTGAGATCTTCAAGGTTCTCCTCATAGGATTCATAGAAAAGTAATAAAAACATTGCCCTGTGGATCTGACGAAGAGCTAGGAGGGGAAAAGGCAAAGAAGAAAGTTGGTTCAAGGAGGAGAGACAGAAAAGAACGGAGAGGAACTGTGGGGGAGAGGAGCCAGTTTGAGGCAGATCAAGGGAGGAGGACAAGGAAGACAAGAAGGGTGAGTCTGTTCTCCTGGGGTAGATCCAGGCACCGTGTGCAAGCAAAGAGCCAGAGCAGGAAGGACCAGTGCTATTAGTGATCAAACCCTCGATACAAATCTGATGAACCAATCAACCATGGGTGTATTTTTACCCTGCCCAGCTTGTGTAAGACAAAATGCTAGATTGCTCCATGCTGGCTTGAGAACAGACTGTGGTTGAGGCCAGTGTCATAATCCACAGCATGTTGGGGCCTCAAAGGAAGTGCTATCGGGGCAAACCAGAGACCCTGCAGCCTGCCAGACACACCACAGACTTGCCCATGTGCCAATAGGAACACACACAAAAAAAGTAGTGTGTCTTTTCCTGTTCCATGACTGCATTTTGTAGTATGATATCATTATCACCAGGGTTCCAGTCATCAAAGAGGGAAATTCAACAACTTTACTCCTTTGCAGTCAAATGTCATGACCAAAGCAAGACAGAAACATAATTATATGTAAATATGATTTATTCCTTAGATCAAGTGGAATCTAAAACGTGCAGGGGGGGGGGTTTTCTTGTCACTCACTTTTTCCAAGACTCTAGCTGTACAAAGCTTTAACCCTTTCCACCCTAATGGTCCTGTTACTGGGCTCAGGCAGTGTCCAGTTTTAAAATGCAACCTGCTGCCAACATTTTGAGGCCAATGTGGGACATACTGTCCAAAGTTTAATGTATGGCTCCATTTATACTGCATCAGATTCAGCAGTTGCAGTTCAGACCAAGTTTATCATCAGTGCCTATGGACTCATTATCATAAGGGTGCCTTCACTGTCTAAAATAGTATTTCAATTAGGTAGAAGTAAAACAATTCTTTTTCTTAGATCTCACTTTGGCCTGATGATGGAGACAGTGAGGTTTATTGTATTTCAAAAATCACACAAATTCCACTAATCTGTAGAATACAACATTGTTAATTTTGGCCCCACAGTTTTGGAGCCACTAGTGACTGAATTTTTTTCAGTTTTTAATCGAGTTTTGTTATTAATGTTTTCAGGCAAAAAGAAAACTTAAAGGGATAACATTACAAATTTCACAACTTTCCTGTGGCTTTTCATAAGAGAACTGTACCTCTTTCATGGTCTAACAATTAGATTTTCCTTCTGGTTTGTCAGTGTTGTTCATCTTCTCAGAATGTACTTAAGGGGTAAACTGCTGTTTTCTACCAAAGTTGGATTGCAACAACATGCGGGCAAATATTCTTAACAGTTTTTCTTGGCTAGAGCAATATTTTAATACTACAAATTTTAGAAATTCAATTACAGAAAGTTTTTCAGACACAGAAACATCCAGCATTTACACTTGTCACAGCTTAGAAGGTCTAAGATCCAATGCCATGTTTTTTCCTCTATCACCACAGCACTTGGCAGGTATGTCCCTGCTAGACCTTGCTGATAAAACCATGCGAGGTCCCTTCACAGATCAGGGCAGCAAGTTTTGATAAGCTTGAGGGGTAAGGGGTGCCGGTGAGATACAGTCTGGGTTTCAGTGATGGTGCTGAGAGTTTGAAAGGGTTATCAGACACCAATAACACTGCAGAGTAGTTTCAGTTACTATCAGACAAGAGGACCTTCCAACTATGAATGGTTATCATGGTGACAATCTTATCTGTTTCAACAGTTATGATGAAAAACTATAAAACATTTCCAAAAGAATCTGCCAGAAAGGTTGCCTTGCACATATTTGTTTGGCCGTTCAGCTTTTTATGTATAAAACCGATGAAATAGTGTGAATGCCTTTGAAAAGAGTTTGAAAATAAAGAAAAAAACTGTTATTTTAAAAAATATTTTACTTACACAGATGCAGCCATCAGTTCAAACACTGCAGCTCTCAGATCTCTTCTACCTGTCTGATCTGTAGTTTGAAAAACAAGAGAGATTCAGTGGTGCTGCTGTCCTTCTGTGCTGCCCAGAACCTAAATTTTCTTTAGTCAAATTCAATGAAACTGTAAATAAATATGAAGATTTAATCAAAATATAGTTATTACTGAACAGGGCAAACTGGAGGCAAGGAGTGTAAGACAGAAATGCGTCTTGCCTGTCTGAAATGCTGTGATGCAACAATATAAAAGGATATCATTAATAATAGCGCTCATCTCTACCGTTAAGCAAGGTGGAGCTTCAACTCCAACATAACTAGTTTATACAACGTTTTGTCTGATCATGTTGAAGGTGTTTATGCTGGTTTCAAATGGCCACACTCAAAGGCAGGGTGCTGGAGGGAAACATGACAATTCGTGATTTTGTTAACATTGGTAAGGTTTACTGCATCAGAAGGCACCCAAAAGACACAGCACTCCTGGAGAGAGATTGGGGACGTGGTGGGAGGAGCCAGGATGAGGCTGTGACATCACAAACTTAGCCCACCTTTAAGTGTGGATTATTGGAACAGGTATAAACACTTTTGCCTTTAGATATGGTTGGACAAGAGCAGGAGGCAGGCCAGAGGTGAAGTCTGTGGGAGCTACTGCATCAGAAACAGCAGGCAGCATTCCGCCACACTTTAGATACCAAAGACAAGTCAGAGGCAAGGTGAGTGGAGGAAGACAAAAAAAAAAAAACCTTTGCAGTTCAGCACTTATTCAAAAGAAGCACTTCACTGAGGAGCAACTGGATAATCAACAGCATTTTAAAACTGCTTTACAATCCACATAGATATTATAGCAGTGAATAAAAGTACTGGTTCTGTCACTCTTGTATCAGCACTACTAAGTTGTTTGACTATTGCAGTCTACACTAAACCAAAATTGCTGTCATGGATAGCCCACGGATAACCCATATAGAGAATGGATAACTTAACTGATACTGCAACGCCACAAACAGGCAGACCTCAAATAAATATTAAACTAATCCTCCACTTCCTATGATGCTGTAAATACCGTGAAATCCTGTTACTATTTAACATCAATATTTTGACATTTCTTTCAGCTGACTCTCAAGACAAAGTCATTTATTTAATTAGCTGAATAAAAATTGGCAGGAGAGGCAAATTGAGAGTTGTGTGACTGGGGCTCAGTTGTCACAGGGACCTGGTGTAGCAAATTGATTGCTGAGAGCGCCGACTCATCATGGGTGCTAATTTCCGGAAGCAGTAGACAGTAGAGTGGGGAAATCAGAGCCTCTGTTTATAACAGAAGAAAACATGAGATGTGTATTAGCTTGTGATTAGAATAGAGAGTGCAGAAGAATCAATTTCAAGGTTTAAAAATGCCTTTAAGCACAGTTCACTTATTCTCTCTCCCTCCCCTTCTGCCGCTGAGCTCACCATGTGACTCAACAGCCTACAGCTTGCAAGCGGCAGGCCTAGAGGTAATTGAGAAGGCAAGCTCGGATTTCTCGTCTTATTACAGTCTAATCAACCACACAACTTGAATATGATGAGTTATCCTCATACCACCAAGGCTAATAATAGTGGTATCACTAGTCCGAGTCAGATTAATTTAAGAAATATCACATTAACCATTTATAACCTCTAGAGTCCCTGCGTCCTCATATGAGGACCGCACAGCTTGGGTTTCCAAAGCTCAGGACTCTAGAGGTTAAATAACATTAAAAAAAAAAAAAACACCAATTTACTTCCTGTAGATAAGACAATAAATAACACCGAACAGACTGAGTGAACTGCCTCCAAAGTAGCAAAAAGTCAAACACAGCTAGATAATACTAGCAAGTCTATTATTATCATCACCACTTAATCTCTTTTATAGCATTGTCATTATTTCCAAATTTGTGAATGCATAATACTGCACTCAGATTTTACACATACATTATAACAGTATCAATTTAGAGAGCCCAAGACTGTCTCTGTGTTTGCGGAGCCCAGGATATCCTGATGTTTAGTCTCTATTAAGGGTCAATAAACAATTTCCATGATGCCACTAAACAGTACATCTCATTAGACCCTCCCTGCCTCTTACTCCTCACAGTGCCGGTGACTGTGATCTGTGTCATTTTCAAGTTCATCCAATGAGCCTCGTGCCAGCTGTAGATAGGGACACTGTCATCCCAGAAAACTCTCTGATCAAGGTCTTCCATTTACTGCAAATGTATTCCTTCTTAGTACCAGGCTTTGCGGCATGCCTTTGAGAACTAGACCAGGAAGGAAGTGTGGGGCAGATTACCAGGTGGAAAGCCAACCTAACCTGTTCTTCCCAATATTCCCTGATCCAAGTCATCATCTGCCCACCATTTAAATGGTGCAAAGCTTGGCAACAGGAACCACACAAGAAACAGCATAACACAACATAAACTCGTACAGTGGGGATGGTCAAACAAAGTACTACAAACTAAATGTTTTCCATTCACAAAGAATTGCTCAAGCAAGCTTTAATACTGTAGCAGGGAAGAACTGAAAACTGCTTTGCAATGCCATTTGTAAAAGATACAAGAAAACAAACATTCAATATACTTAAGTAGACAGCAATACTGGACTCTGCAATTAACTATTCAATCTGCTTATAGAACATTTATGAGCATATGAGGAGGATGGACACTGCACTAATTTGTCTCGTCTGTGGAGTGCTCCGACACCTAGCATCTCTAACATGAGGTTAGTGGGGGTTTGGCCTCCCCTTCAGTCATTTGTAAGCTGCAGAGTCTGGAAATGGTTAGACCTCGGAGGGCAATTAGTGTGAGCATCGCTGGGCTAAATATAGTCTGGCTTGACCTGGCTCTGCTCCGGCTCTGCCCCAAGCAGGCATGCTAGCTTAATCTGGATCTAGTTTGTTTTATGAATGATGTGAAGACTTCACAGACTCAGATAAGATAGAACTTGGCCATCAATCAGGTGTTTCAGGAATGAAGTGAACGGAAAGAAAAAAAAGTGACATCTGAAAGGGAAGCAAACAAGTTAACTTTAATATCAAGAAATGACAGTTGGCTTATATTTATTTATGGCATCACAATACACATCAATGTGTCTATATAACATGCTCTGCATTTTCAGAATCAAACCTTCAGCTTGAATTCAGCCTTCAAACAAACTATTGTTGGGAAAACATACTTTCCCAGGTTACACCAACTAATTGGAATGCAAAAAAGAATGCTTTCCCATCACATGGCTCCCTGTCCCTCAAGTCCCCATCTCTCCTCACTCCTGTGAGAATAAAAATATTGCAGAGGTGGTATCCTCAAAAACAGGGCATCCTCCAACTTTCACCTGGGAGGGCTTTTGGACAGCAGAGGCAAGCTAGAAGGTTATAGGAGCCTGGGAATGTTTAGCATCAAGAAAACAGTCTGAACATAGGCAAAGCTCTAGAGATTGAACAGGAAACACAAAGAGTAACCCTTTCCTGTCCAAGAGGAAAGAGAGCAGAGCTCTACAGTTTGGCTTGCATTTTTACAGTGTGCAAGTGAAGAATATTTTGGGTGCACCAGTGTCTCAGTGACTCCAAGTTCCTTGGGATACTGCTTTTAAATTTGTAAGGACCCGGAACATTTTAGCAGATGTTGAAAAAAAAACAGTTAGTGAGATTAGTGGATCAGAAAACATGATTTTGGTGTTTATGGTGCATAGCTTCTCGTCAGTGTCTATCTCTGTGTTGGGGTTCTGACCATTTGACAGAGGGTGGGTCTGAACTCCTCATGTGCATTACACAGAGCAGAGAGGCCAAAGAGGGGAGAGTGCATGACAGCATTTCACTCAAACTATGCTCGTTACTGAGTGTGCAAGAAAACATTCACATGAATGCAAACTGTTAGGTCCCAAGTACATCATGTTTTCTTTTAATAATTTCCTAGTTAATTTCCTGCCCACATGTGTGGGCTCTATTGTTAACTTTCAAACCAGAAATGTGTCATGATTCTGTCCTGTCGGCTTCTGTTCCCATGCTTTTATTTTGACATTACTTCCTGTTTCAGTTTCACCTCAGTTTCGGACTTTTTACTTTAATCAACACTTTTAGTTTACACCTGTTTTCATCCCGTTATAAGCAGCTTTCCCCCACCGGAAAGCTGCCAGATCGTACTGTCAGGGTCGATGCGTAAAGATGCTTATTATGTCACGGGGTGAACTCAATTATAGAGCCAGACGAGGATAAGTGAAACACTGTCTCTTTAATAAGAGCACTGGTAACAAAATGACACAGAAAACTACGTAAACTCGAAACACACTCTCAGGTCAATAATACAGTCCAGGGTCAGAGCCAGCAAACTTACATGGCCGAGGGATCCACAAACTAGAGGTCAGAGAGGGGAGTCCGATAGTCAATACACAGAAAAACACAAGCAGTAACACTGGGCTAGGCAAAACTCGATGGTCAAACAGTAATCCGGGGTCAGAGCTGGAATCACAGGAACAGGTGAACTGCTGGAAAGTATGAACAGGAGTTAGAACAATCTGGCAGCTTTCCAGTGGGGAAAAGCTGCTTATAATGAGGTGAAAACAGGTGTAAACAATGAGTGTTGATTAAAGTAAAAAGTCTGAAACTGAAGTGAAATTGAAACAGGAAGTAATGTCAAAATAAAAGCATGGGAACAGAAGCCGACGGGACAGAATCATGACATATCATTTCTTCACTCCTAAATTTTGAGTCTGATTTCTATCAACCCAAAAGATGATGTGTGAATATCCAGGGCTCAATGTCATACAAACAATAAAAAAGAAAAAATGTAGTGGCCCCTAACTCAACATAGACTCCACTTTCATATCCCCATCACCGACTTGATCCTGTGTGTTTTTTGCCACAATATGCAGACTGAAGGGACAGATGAATGAAATATTCTGGTGGCGAGTTTAGCATAAATTGCCCAAGACATCTCACAACACAGGGGTCTGCTTTGCAACCTGACAGAGAGAACACGTACCCGGGTAAAGCTTCTTTTATACTTGTCTGAAGGGGTTTATGGGTAAACCTA